CGGAGAACTGTTGTGGATTCAGTCTCTGCTATCTCAAACATCTAGTTAATGGTGCAAGGCATCACGTAACCCCATCCGTTCTGGAACTTCAACGGATAAAGCCTACCGGAGGGATCTAGAGCGAATAGGTCTTCCAAAGGAGTGCTACCGATGCACCAGTATGTCCGAAGAACTGCAACCCGTGACACTCAAAGAGCCGCCCCCCACCCCAAAATCTGGTCCATATAACGGCCATGATTAGAAGCTGCTTCTAGGGTACATGCTGATATCATGGCTACTTGGAGCTTCATGGGTACTTGTAAGTGGGGTTAAAGGTAAGTATAGTTATTTATAACCCATATTAGGGGACTTATAACTCCACTTATAACTACACATGAACCTCCAAGTACAAAAGGGGAGCTCCAAGGACCCCCCTAAACCCTAAACCCCTAAACCGACACAAGGGAGCTCCAAGGAATGAGTGGTCAGGCCCAAGCAGTCACAAGTCCCGAAACCCACTCGCGTCGGGCCTTGCCGGTACTTCTCGCCGGCAAGGTCTGGGTCTGTCGGGGCACATCGACTGCCGAATAAAAACAGGGGTTAGGCTTTAGGGTTTAAGGGCCAGTTTGGGGGGGGGGGGGGTAGATTATGCAATGTTTACTTAAAAATAAGGAAGCCCCAAAGTAGGATTTGTAATTATTTAGGCCCCTATTAGTGTGGGAGTAGAAGCCCCGGTCCTCGTCGGACCCAGAAAAAAAAGGCCCTGCCTAGGATAGGCCCCGCTAGTATTCCTTCAAAACCCTTATAGTAGTATAGGACAACTGAAAGGAAGCCTATCCCAAATAATAAGGGCGCCTTCAACTTTATGGCATCCGGAAGGCTTTAATGAGGGGGCGGGGAGGCAGCTCTCAGCCACAGGGCCAGATTACCGACCGCAAACAGGAAGCCTTCCAGCACTCTTACACCCAGTTGTCCAAAGGTTAAGGATTGGGACGGCACCCGTAGAAAAATGACCCCAAAAGGGACCCTAATTCAGAGAAGTGCGTACCCATATGGGGTTACAGTACCCCTAAAAGGTTAAAGGTCACCTGCTCTACTGCTAGGTACAAGCACTTCCGAAAGCATCTCGAAACACAAAATAGAATGAAGGGCTGACCGTTCGCAAGTTGTGCGCAGACCCTAAACCCTAAACCCCTCAACCCCTCAACCCTAAACTCTAAATCCTAAACCCCTCAACCCCTAAACTCTAACCCCCTAAACCCTAAACCCTAAACCCCTAAATCCGACAGTCGCGATTTGTTTTAAACGAAGCTCATGTCTCGTGGTGCCGTGGATGCCCTGCTGCAGCAACAGAGCTCCACCCTGGCGATGGCAATGCCTCGCACTGGCTGAGCCTTGATGCTTACAGCTTAGGGCTGAGGGCTTAGGGCTTAGGGTTTAGGGTTTAGGGCTCAAGAGCAGCGAGATATCTTAGCAGTGAAGGTCGCAACACGAAACGACATGTAGACATATTCAATATCGTAGACGACCGGGGAAGTTGCCACCTGAAGCAAGAACAGCAACGGCAAGATAGCTCAGTACTAACGGAAAAGAGACGGTATGTGCGGAAGCAGCCTTACCACAAATGTCGACGATCAGAAGTAGCAGCCTGGCCAACCTGGCTATTCGAACGCATGTTCTCCAGTGCATCCAGGCATCCTAGCAATGTTGGGGTGTGTGGTGCGTTCAGAGGATTGCCGATGTATTGGGGTGCCAGGCCTTTCTGGCTTTGTGGAGGCTCAGGGTCGAGGGCTCGCCACTCCCATCTGCCAAAGAAGCATCACTGCAGTTGTGGCTGGGTATCGTCGGAAGATCATCTGGGAAACCGAAGCCGTAGCAACTCCCAAGCCCAGAAGTTCATACAGCCCAGACACAACGTCAAACGTTTACTCAGCTTAGTGCTGTTTGCTGTTTGGTGATCAACAAGGAGTACCAGGAACCGTTATGATCTGCATTAAGGCCTTCTGGTTGGCCTCATATTTCCACGGTATGGTCCGGTATGGTGCCTGTCAAGAAGCCTTGGGTTACTCAGCACCCGGCAGCGCAAAATCTGACAACCGGAAAAATCGAAACTCGGAGAAGCCAGTACTTATAAAAAGAAGAACCAAGTTCCCTAAACCCTTAGAAAAGAGGAGGCTCTTCCTGCAAGGGAAAGCCCAAAGCACAACAACAGCCAAGAAGTACGGCTGATGTCATAAATCCTGCATTACCCATAATAAGGAATATCTACCATGATTGCCATAGTTTAGGAGTTTAGGGTTCTTAAGGTAAGGCAGGGCTTATATCATCAACAGTGCCAGCTCTGGGCATCTAGTCTACCGCTTATATAATCCAACCCTTCTTGAACTCTAAAACCCCCTTTGGTGAATCCCTTCCAGTAGGCCCCGCGAGGAGCCTTTGAAGGACATTACTTCGCCCCCACCCTGCTTTCCACACTACACAGGGTTTACAAACTTCAAAGTTTTCGGAGTTGTAGGCAATTTGGGGTGTGGGGTTGTGATCGGACGAAATCGGGCGCGGGTCGTCGGGGTGCGTCCGAGTACTCTGACAATACATTCGAATTTCTTATCAAAAATCTTTCGGGTTCATGTATAAACTGCTCAGATTCCTGGACTCCGAAGGTTCTTGCTGTGCTCTAAAGCCTAGTTGCACGGATTGAAGTTTCCAAATTTCAGGCCACCCCAATTGCCGATGAGTTACCCAGCCCTCTGCCGTGTCCAAAAAACTCAAACTCTCGGCACCCTTGATCTGTGACATCAGCATCTCTTCGCAGGGCGGGTGCTAGTACAAGTACTAGTGAAACTATATGGGGAAGAGTAACACTGCAGAAATACTATTGCCAAGTATTCAGGTCCGCACTATCATGCTGACGAGTATTGGCTAACTATGGCTCCTCTTGCAAGGGGGCTTTCGGGGACACATCTTCCCTTGTGGGGAGGTCCCAGCTGCCTGTAGGTGCTGATGTGCAAAGAATCCGTCGATCGAGGGGCCGTGCTGCTTGGAACAGTTGCGCGGCCCTTTACCGGTGGTCTGTTCGGCTGGGAATGCACATGAATTCGAAGATCGGAGCCTTTCTAACTGGGAGCGGGTTGGGCTTGGATGTTATGTTTCCAAGGTTTTTAAAGCTGGCTTCAGTGCCAATTGAAGGGGCCTGAATGATTAAGGTAGGGATTTGGTGACTATATGTTATGGGCCCATTTTCTTTCTTCTACTTATTTTTTGAGAAACCCTCAAGAGCAATATCGAATTGGCACTTTGGTAATTACTTCCTCAGGCTCCTACAGTGCAGAAAGCCGCAGCTTTAGGGCTTCTTGGTCTCTTCTTTACCGTCCAACCGCCCAGACGGAAGAGCCACCGTCGGACCAATTAAGTCAGCGTTGACGAATTCGTCGAATTCGTGCCGGCTGTCGTCTGGCTTCTGACTTTTGCTTTACCAGCTGCTAGCAACAGACATTCACCTCAAGTCTTTGGGTACCTCCCAATGATAACCCTCTAGGACCTTAGGGTTTAGGGTTTATCGGGAACAGACGTTTAGGTACCTCATAATGATACCATTGACATTTAATATGCTACACAACTGCTGCCCCAAACCCGGGCAACCCACGTACCTAACCTGAAAGCTCCCTCGCCCATCACTCTACCCTAAGCCCTTCAATCGCCCTAAAACCTGCGTCTGGTATCACCTTACCCATAGGCCCCTAAGTAGCTCACTTCTTGGGATTACCTTACAGGATTATGAAATATAAACCATAACTAAAAGGAACTACTTCGGGGCCTATGGGTAAATTCTATAAGCTTCCCCAACCGGTGCGTTGACACTAAGGGCCTCCCGGCCTTGCGAGGCTAGGGTTTTAGGGGTTTAGGGCTTTAGGGTTTTAGGGTTTTAGGGTTTAGGGTTTTAGGGTTTTAGGGGTTTTTAGGGTTTTAGGGTTTAGGGTGTGGAATCGCACCGGTTACATCTGGTTCTGGTGGGAGTCTCGGCGCTGCAAAAGTGCCGTGAACCACAGGTCCCCACCCCCTTTGCTGTTCCCTGCGACCGAAGGTGAGAAGGTTTCCATACGGAATTTTTTTGGGGTTGGATGAAGGCTTTGATCTCCTCAATGGCGGTACACCGAAAATTTCCTGAAAATATCGAGTATCATCGGGTCCTAAGCACTATAAGCAGCCAAGCCCCTCCCTAGAAGCCCGGCTACCTGAGGAATTAGGCAGAACAGGCCTTCCATGGCTTCATGCATAGCACCCCAAGCCCCGAGACCCTCAAACCCTAGGACCCTTAAAATAAAAGCACACACGAAGGAGCCCGAAGATCCTATAAGACCCCAAAAGTAGGCCCCATTAAACCCGGTCAGCTCTCTCTCCGACAGCCCTCGATCTTGCGTCCGCAGTGTGTTCGCTTGGCCTCGACGCAGAGGATCTTTCGTGGGGTTTTTGTAGAGGTTTGAACTGGTTTCTAGGTCGGCCTTTATAGGGTGTCAAGGGTTTTGCGGGCGTTGTGCGGGGCTTTTGCTTTTAGAAGGGTTTCATGGCGGGCTGTTTTGGGGGTGTTAGTTACAAGTGCCATGTGAGGTCTCACAAGGATTGTATAACAGTTGTGATTCAGCGGTGTTGGGGCGCACGTAGACAGCAAGTGGGTACTTTGGGGTTTTAAAGGAGAGGGTGTTGTAGGTTGGTATTTGGGGGGGGGGCAATTTGGCAATATGGCTTTGATGTACTTGGCCATTCTGGCAAGTAGGTTTGGGCTTTGAACAAGGAGAGGTGATAGGGGGATGTGCAGCCCAAGGGCCTTTTTGCCGAACGCTAAAACCAAAACCTGTGCCACAGATTTCTGCGGAGAAGAGCTGGTGCCCGGCAAACCGTCGCCATATGTGAACACTGGGTAGTAGCTGAAGTTTCGCGGCCAGGTTAGCAGGCAAAACTCCAAATGAGCCGATGCCAAAGGCGGCGCTACTGATGGATACTTTGCCACTTCCCTAGCCAGAAGCTTACTGCGCAGAAGATCCGGCACCCGGACGCTTGTCACCATACGTGAACAGCGGGTAATGACTGAAGTTGCGTGGCCAGGTCAGCAAGCAAAGTGCCAGATGAGCAAACGCGAGCGGCGGCGCTAAAGATTGATACCTTGCCACTCCTCTAACTAGCAGTTGCACAGGCTTCGCCACCAGGGCATGTAACAGAGCTGCCACACCAAAGATGACGAAGAGTTGTTGCATCGCGAAAAGGTTTCCCTCTGCGTCCTCTCTCACACTTGCCCAAGTAGAAATAAACTCGGGAGCATGCTTGTCGAAGAACATTAAAATCCAAAGATGAGAAGCCATGATGCAAAAGTTCAAATTCGCAAGGTAGCGGAGCCAAGATGCTGCTGCCGCCGGCAGCTGTATGTCGAGAAACGTAAAAAGGAGCAGCGAGAGCTGAAAGGGCAATCCCGCAACCATAAAGGGCAAGTGTTGCCTGCAGTGAGCCTCCCCGAACCCGAAAGTCTCCCAGTGTGCATGGCTCGCGATGGGTGTGCTCAGCGCGAGAGCCCCGCCGATTGCAGCGATGACCAAAGGCGTCCACCTCTGTCGGAGATATCCTGTTGGCCCAAGAAGCCGTGCAAGGGCTCGGCATGCACAGTGGGTCAACATGGCAGAGGGTAGCCGGCAGTACCGGAGCGAATGATAACAGTCCCTACAACACACTTGAGGCTGACGGTCTAAGTCCACGAACATCCAGGCAATGTAGGCCATTGTGGCTGCTGGAACTATGTGTGGCAGCACAGACTCGATTGCAATGGCAGCTCCGACAAACCAGAAGATCGAGTACTCCAAACAGACAAACCATGTCGACGTCGGCCAAGATGGGTTTGGAAAATCGTCGGCTGGGTATGCTGGCCACCCATGCCGGGATTAAAGTTGTTACTGGCTGGAATGGCAAAGTCTCGCATCGTTGCCGCCCCCAGCATCCATTCCAACCAACCTGCCAAAGAGCCTGCTGGCTGTTCGTCCTCAAAGAACAGCTTCTGTCCACAGTACCACGGGGACGGAGGACGAACGAAAAAACTTGCCAGATGTGTAAATGCTATTTGGGTGCTTGCTTGGACTGCCACTTTCCGCACGACTTTCATCGCAAACGACTGCAACGTCAGGCTGTGCATAGACACCAAGCGGACCGTCAGTACCACGAACACGTCCTCCAACCTTTCCATGTCTGTACCGGTCATGTCGCATATAGGCCACTTGAAAGGAAAGGGTTGTCTTCTGTGGGTATCAACCACGATCCATGTTGCGAGCAATCTCAAGACGTCAACGGCCACATTGGGAGTCTTGTCTATGGATGCCGATTCGCGGCCAGTTTGCCTCCGAAAGCGACAAAGCAGCCACGGGGCCAGAGACAGGGCGCAAACAGTGCCACACATCGCTAGAGCGCCAGGTGTCCGTGGTGGCGAGACACATACGTCACCTTCTCGGACTCACTGAAAGGAGGCACCTGCAAGGATAAGTGCTGGCCCACGGATGCTTCTGTCCGCCAGGATTGGAAGAACCGTCACTGCAGCCTCTCCGATGCTGCAAGCAACCGGCAGCGTCAGCACATAAGCGCCCTCGAGGCGATGATGCTGCATAGAAAACCAGTCGAGCTTGACCATGTACAGCTGGCACTCTGCGTCACCCCAACAGGCCGCAGCTTCGTCAATCCGAGTACGGAATTTTCTGACTGTGTTGATGCTGTTTATTGGAGGCGGAAAGATGTCTTTGCCGCTCCACATCTGCAGGAGCTGGAACCTGGAGTCATACAAAAAGCTCTTCAAACAGGGGCTTTCAAGGTCAGCATGACTGATGCCGCCAAGCGCAGCTGGAGGCATGATGCTACCACCTTCTCGAAACTGTTGCTTTGCCGGCTCGGTCATGTACAGTGTGCCGCGCATCACGAAAAAGTCGGACGTGGGGGAGCCTTTGACATCATCGACATGTATCCAGTCTTCCAGATCTGGCAGGTCCAAGCAGCACTTCAAGTAGGTGTAGGGTCCGTAGCTGTCAAAGCACCCTCCATCGGAGATGAGAATTTGGAAGCCGTCGTCAGCAGATTCGCAGCACCTCCCATATGTGAACGAGTAACCCTCTTCGAAACATGGACTTCTGTGGTCATGAGCTTTATCGGGTGGCACATGGTCCGTTGTCGAAATGGAGGATGCCTGCACCCCCTGACAGCATCGTTCGAAGGTGAACTCGTTGGTGAAGCAGCTGCTATTTCCAAACGTACAGCAGAGATCTCTGACATCTTCAGGCACCCCATACCAGCAGGGATCAGCGTTGCCATGGCACGTCCGCGTCTGCCATGCAAGGAGGGCAGCAAGCGGCAGGCTCGCCGCCGACATGCGAGATCCCGACAAAGCAGCAGGATTTCTACCCTCCATGCAACACTCCCACTCCCACGCCGGCTGGGCGGCTAGGCTTGAAGCACGCAGCAGCGGAGCTTCCATCAAACATTTTCATGTCATGTTAAAAACCTGATGAAGGAGCTCGCGGTTCTTACTACGTAGGTTTCCAATATTCTGTGAGGGACCTTGAACTGAGATGAGAGTCGAAAAGCGGAAGGGGATCTTCGATATTTGGCTCCTGCATCATTCGCGCAGAAAGCTTGGAATTCGCCGACCCACAGAGTGCTCCAACCGGAACCATGTGATTGTCAGAGCCTGAACTGTACCAGCAGCTAGCATCGACGTCCTTGCAGAATCTCATCGGTTTGCAGGGCACAAAACCGAATCGACCGAAGCAAAATCGCCGAACCAATGCCAGCATCCCTACACCCCGAAACTGCCGAACTCGAAGAAAAGGAGCAATGCAGGATCCAAGGTTGCCAAGCCTCAAATCCAAAACGGCCCCCCCACCCCCGACCCTCCAGGGGCTCGCACAACGGCCTCAACCGCCACCTCTCGTGGCCTTGCGGTTTTAGGTTTCGGGGGTTTGCCTGAACCGTCCGAATAAGTTCGCTGTGTTAGGTTTATAGCAAAAAAAATTGTTTCATCGGGGTGTTTTGCGGAAAGAGGTGCCCCTTGCGGAAAGATGGCCTGATTTGGAACAAGGGTCGAGTCGAGGGTCTGTAGAAACATAATTCCACTAGTCTCGCACCGAAAGACACCCGCAAATACGCCATCACCAGCTTGAAGAAGGAGCCCGACCCTCGCTTGCATGAGGCCTGCTTATCGCGCCTTTGGGGTGTTGCAGTATCCGCAGTCGTTCTTGTTCATCCCTCGAAGCTCTCGTACTCTCAATTTGATCCGCGTGTGTACACGCAAAAAACATGTATACCCCTAAACCCCTAAACTCCCAAACTCCCAAACTCCTAACCCCTAACCCCGAAAACCCCGGAAACCCTATAAACCCCAAACCCCTAACCCATAAAACCCATAAAGCCCTAAACCCTAAAGAAGCTCTTGTCGCTTGCCGTCCCGAGCACCCCTCGGCTCCCGCCTCCAAGCTCCGAGGCGCGGAGCCCCAGGTTGCTAGGCCTCCGGCCAAGGGTGTCAGGTGTTCGAAATAGACCCAGCGCATATATATATATATGTATACGTATACATA